GGGGGGGGGGATTGAGGTTGCTATAACAACATCAGCATCCGTATCTTTAACCAGCAGTGCCCCTACATTCAGTGCATCCACGATCATCACAGCACCTGAATTACAGTGGTGGTCATCTCCAGTTAGCAAAGCCTTCAGTGGATATAACAGCTCCCCCACCCTTAACCCTCTGTTACCAAGAGAAGGAGACATCTGAGCATCCAAGCTATTTACCCAATGAGTGTAATTACCATTGGCTACTCGCACGAGGCCCGCTAACTGATGTGATAACCTTTATACTTTCATCTTCCTTTAGTTCCGTTTTAATTGCTCAAACTCTCTTTGAAACCTAGCTGTGCCTTCTAATAAAGAAGAAAGCAGGCCCAGCTGCGAATTGCTGTTTGTTGTGTTGGAGCTGGTAGCGAAGCAAGCCTGGTGGTATTGTTGTGTTTGTGTGCGTGCATGCTGGGTGTGTGCGTGTAGGGGTGGGGGGCAGCGAGGCATGCCTTTTGAACAGCAGGTGGTAATTGAAACAAAACAAGGGCTGATTAGGGAAGCGTCTGGCAACTCATGATCCAAACAGTGAGCCGCCGAGGAGCCCAAACACAAGAGCCCTGGAATAAAGTGGTCATCATCTAATTAACAGAACACATTTTAATTACCGAGTAAACCAAGCAGTGCAGTGTGTCAATTTAACTGATGTGGTAAGTGCCAGTTTACAATATCAGAAACAGACAAATAATTGGAATCTAATTACAAGCAGGTCTATTGCACACCAGCGCCTGCAGCCCATCTTAATAAACAAATTTTTTACATCAAACCATGAATAACAAACACTGCAGGACTGCTAATTGCCTCACTGCAATGTTGGGAGTGTGCCAGCTTTGACTATTTGAGGCAGTGCCGCGCTGTAATTAGAATAAAGTGAACAGCAGCCATCCGCGTTTGTTTTTTCGCAATCTAACCGGGCTAAACAATGTGACTGATCTGTCTTCTGTCTGTAGGGCAGGATAGAGCAACAGAGCATGTCTGTGGGGTTAAACAGCATCATTTGTGATTAATGAGAGAAATTAACAGTAATCTGTTAATGAAGTTTGAGTCATTTTCTGACTTACCTCACTTGGGATCGAGATAGTTTTTTGCCCAAGTTTTGATAGAAACCTCCCAAGGAGCAGAACAAAGAGATGGAAGATGATGGTGAAGATGGTGAAGATGGTTAGGGTTTAAGCGGGTCAACAAAAGGAGATTCAAGTATTATATTTGAATTTAGTTAATAGTTTTTAGTTATTAATTTGTCAAACAAAGTTTCAGCTGTTCATGTTTCTCTAACACCACTTCACACATATTTGAGCTTTTTAAGCAGCACCATCCAGTCTTGATTAGTCCCGGGTGTGTGACAATCGTGTTTCTACAATCCAGCTACGTCACTTCAAACATCTTAACAAAATCTGCTGCTACAGTCCACCTGTTCTAATAACGGCAGGCCCGACATCCTTTCTGCAAATTTTCTGAATCATTTTCAGTGTCTCGTTGCCGTGAGCGCGCGCACACACACACGCAAGTGTGCACAAAACAAACTCATAACTTCGTGCAGCAGCCACCAAAAGGAAAAGCCACGTTCCATCACCCCTGCGCTGAAGATATGAATGTGCAGTTCAGAGGTTTCACACTTAACCAATTTATTACCAGTGAAAGGAAATGTTTAACGGTGGTGAAAATGCAATCTGAAATTTTCTAGAACATGACACATGGCTCTGCTCTCCACACAATACCGCACTGTGGTATCAATATATGTGAATCTGTTCCTGCTATTAGTTGGTATTGGATCAAAAACAAATTTTGTGGTATTGCCCAACCCTGCCTGGAGACACATATTGCCTGCTGACTTGAGATTCATCACAAGTGTTTTTTTCCACATTCAAATGGAAGCTGAAAGCACTCCTGTCCTGACGGTTTCACAGCTAATCACTGTGCGTGTTTATATCCAGCGTGTAGTCACGTCTTCTGCATTTTTCTAATGTTTATTACGACTTTTTTCTGGTCTTTTAATACGAAGCACATTGTGTTTGTGTCGTTAAATTTTCATTCCTATCCCTGTTGTTGGGTAAATAAAACCACAAATGATCTCCAGGGCTTTGAGTGACTGAGACAATGCTGTGCTCATAGGCTCATTTTACGGCTTCAAACGTGAACGCTGGGCCGGTGGTCTACCAGCGGCCTACAGAGAAATTCAGATTTATGGGTGTGACAGTGCAGTATATCTCACCCCGTGTTTCATCAGACTTTATGGACTATAATTATATCATATGTTAATGCCCCTCTATAAGTTAAGTGGGTTTTTTTTTAAACACAAATACTTTTGATACCTTTGTGATCACTTTATGTTATCTGAACGCTTGCGATGAGCGTGAGGAGAAACAACACAGACGCGTTTGGGTGAAATACAACCTGCAGAAACATTGCTTGTGATTTTATATCATTTCCATTAAATCTTGTCTTTCAAAGGCCTTAATTAATAATGCACTTGACGTTTATGATTTCCAGCAATAAGCTAAGCAAGAAACGATTTATGTCACCTAAAGCTTTTTAACAAATCAATGCAACTATTTGTAATTGCTTGTTTCACAAGATTAAAAGTGCTTAGACTTGATCTCTGTCCCCTGTTTAGTGGCCAACATGCCCCGCAACCTCTGTCGTAAAAACACCAGGACCAGGAGTCTTGGTCATCAGCATTAGCTCCTGTCACCAAATCCATATCGCTATTATTTCTGGGATTTTTTAATGCGGTTGCAATTTATAGCTTATCAAATGCAGTTACCTAAATTGCTGTTAGGAAAAAGACAGTTTAACTGTCTCTTTTTAATTACGAGATAATTTAATGTTTTAGGCTGGGATGAGAGTCCTGCAGCAGACGACACAAACAGGGTCTGTGTGGGACTGTCCTGCAGGCCGAAGTAATGAGGAAAGAGGTACTGAGGGCGACAAAAACTGCAGTGGGGAAATATTTCATAAATGTGTGTTGGTAAAAAAAAACTCTCTCATTTCATGCAGTGGCTCACGTTGTTGTGCGAAAATCAGTCTCGAGCGAGCTCGCGATGCTGGATTCTGCATTTTAGCTCCTGTGAGTTTAACTGCATGCGTTGCAGTAAAAAAAATAAAAGCCCTCACTCGGACAGACACAACGAGAGACTTGGAAGAAACGATCGGAACAACCAGCATTTTATTGCATGTTTAGAATGCTCATGTCAGTCATCGCCACCGACTACAACAGAGTGGTCTGCGTCAGACAGACGAGGAATGATGAGGAGGTTACAGACTAATGGAAGTGATGAGCAATAATATTTCTCTTCAAAAAAACAAAACAGGAAAAAGAAAACTACAGAGTACATCTTCAAAGAAAAGGAGCGAGAGAAAAAAAACCCCAAGAAAGATAAAGAAAAAGAGAAGATGCCGCAGGATGAGAGCACCGTGACAGCTCCTGGGCTGCGCACCCCCCTCCCCCCCTCCATCTGGAAAGAAACAAAGTGTGATGCGAGAGTGGGAGAAAGAGACGGGTTGGGGTGGGGGGGACGGAATGACAGCGGGCTGGATGGTTGGTGATGGATGAAACAATGGCATTTTAGCTCGGGTGCCAGTGTGTGTGAGTGTGTGTGATATACTTTGGCTGTGTGTGTGTGTGTGTGTGTGTGTGAGTGGGGGGGAGGTCTGATGCCACGCAGCTGGATTTTGCAGGGTCCGAGTCTTCAGCAGCATCTGACCTTTGACCTGCCTGCTGTGCTTGGTTCAACTCATTTACAATGACCACTTGAGATAAAAAATATAAATATCTTGATGCTAACCAAAGAGTGTGTGTGTGTTTAACCTACGTGACATGAAAGGACATCTTTTAATGAGCGAGTGAAATGAATCTCCAAAAAAAAAAGAAAAAGAAAAAAAAAGACAGCATTTAACAATATTCTTTACATCTTGGCACTGCATATTTTTCTTTTTTTCCTATTCATTTCATATAAAATATCATTAAATTGATACACCCTTATATTACTACTGACCACTTAAACCACCCCTCCCACCCTCCCCCCTAAAATCTCCGTGACCCTGGGATTAGTCATGCAAGATATCTCCGTCTCGTAGAGGAAATATACCAGTCCTGCCCAGTGTCGGGTTTTTTCCCCATTTTACTCGAGCAGGTATTTCTTTAGCGCGCAGCCTCGCGAGGCAGCGGCTGGACCGTCAAAGGGAAGTATCAAAAAACAGCTTAACACAAAGAGGGAAAAAAGAATCTGTACAAAATGCTTAGGTCAGTGATAACAGAGAAAAAGTCTGTTTTCTATATTACAGTTTGTAATCCAAAATCTGAGATTATCCCCCGTGCCCCAGCCTGGCCATGCCCAGCTCACCCAGACGTCTGCATGGATTGTGTGACTCCTTTTTTTTGTCTTTTTTTTTCCTTTTTTGTTTTTTTTTTAAAGCAAGGATTACTAAGTAAAATACATTTGCAGCACAGTTTGCTATTCCAATACATACAGCAGTTTTTTTTCTCATAGCTATTTCATAGTTAATACAAAGCGATAAAGCAAACATAACACAAATGTATTTTTTGATCTTAAAAAAAGGTGTGTTGGGGCGGGGGGGCAAAGGCTATACCGACATGTATGTACAACCTAATGTTGGAACGCCCTTAAAACAACCCATCAGTACATCAGAGAACAAACTTTGACAGGATGAACGGTGCCACACACACACACACACACACACACACACACACACACACACACACACACACACACACACACACACACACACACACACACACACACACACA